AGAGAAGCATATGTCGAGAGAGTTTAGCCAAAGAGGAAGAATTCACTATTGAGCGAGGTACAAATAGTAAACAAAGCATGCAAAGAAGGTGCACCACCAACAGTTTATAATAACTACACTAACTACAGCTACAGGCAGTTACAGATATATTCTAACACTCCCCCATAACTGCCTGCAGCAGAAGTTTGTGCAGCAACACATCCTGGATGGGTACACCACGAACAGAGAAAACAACATCAGTAGGCAAGAGCAGTGGCAACCGGTGCAGTGGTGGCAGATTCAGCTACACCAACCCCTCAGCCAAAGTAGAAGCAACAGACAAAGGTGCATGTGGCGGCAGGTCGCCTGGAGAGTGGGTGAGTGCGGCGGCACCGTGCGGCGGCACAGCAAGGCTCAACGGCAGCACCTGCCGCTCAACAGCAGAAGACAGCAGAAGAAACAGCAGGTGGTGGCAGGGGCGGCAGCAGGAGGTGCCACGGTAGCAGCGGGCGGCAGCTGCAGATGCCTAGCTGAGTTCCGCTACCATCTCACCCTCCCCCCCACGGCAGCACACGCGGCAGTGAGAGAGAGAGGAGGAGGGGCGGCTGCTGGCTCAGCAGAATCTCTCTCTCCACTCCATCACAATCTCCCCCATTCCCCTCACCCTCCCCCCCGCAACCTCTTCCCCCCCTCACGGCGGACCCCACTGAAGGGAGGGGAAGGACAGGCTGCAGGAAACTCACACCCGCCACCCCCACATCCTCCCCCCCCCCCCCCCCCCACGGCGGAAGCTGCGGAAGGGAAGGGGGGGGTGGAGTTAGCTGCTGCTGGCGCTGGCGACGTCGCTGGCGCTCGCGCAGGTGCTGGCGATGGGCGCTGGTGCTGGCGCACACGACCGTGCGTGGGTGCGCACGGTCGTACGAAGCTGCGCGCAGCAATGTGCAGCCGTATGCAGCTGCGCACGGCTGCTGCTGTGTTCGTAACAGAACGGGACGTGGCTGGCGATGCGCGCGACGAGCAGGGCGCAACGGGCGCGACGGGGAGACGAAACGAGGCCGCATCTGACGCCGTCACGCAGCTCGCCGCCGAGACCGTTTTGACGGTCGCGACCGTTGCAACCATCGTAACTACGGCCGCGACGGGGGGCGTGACGAGCGCCATGAGCGGGGGGGTACGTGGTGGGACCATGGGGGAGAAAAATAGGTCTTAGGACGACCTAGCTCTTAATACCATGTTAGAATAGTAGATTAAGTGAACACTAGGGTTTGGGGTAGGAGGAGAGTTGAGAGAAGCATATGTCGAGAGAGTTTAGCCAAAGAGGAAGAATTCACTATTGAGCGAGGTACAAATAGTAAACAAAGCATGCAAAGAAGGTGCACCACCAACAGTTTATAATAACTACACTAACTACAGCTACAGGCAGTTACAGATATATTCTAACACCAACCGTGCGGCGCGTACAGTTACGAAACTGTTCCCGCCGAAACCATCCTGCTTGCAGCTGCCCGATGCTATCTGCTCCGACGGTCCAGATGCGCCCCAACCAGGGCTGACGTTTCATATTAGGCCTCCCTGATTCCGGGGAAAAAAATTCCCCTCTATTATGAGTGCACATTTTTCAGAATAATGCTACTCTGATTGCTCAGGGTTGATAAGTATATAACTCTGATTGTTCAGGGTCGAAAATCGAGGATCAGAATAGTAACGCGCCCTTTGTTACAGGGGAGAAAGTCTCCCTATGCGTAAAGTTTGCGCTCTGTGTTTCGTGCACACTTTGACCGCGCTAATTTCCAGCCTTTTAGTGTTACGAAATGGTATTTATGCACACGTTTTAGTGGGGGGAAGAGATGAGCGATTTCGCTCAACCAAACATTTCGATTCGATACCTGAATGTGGCCAACATCGCTGTGCGAAACGCAAAATAGGTTCTGGAAACTTTACGCACACGCACTTACGACAGTGGAACAACTAATTTGCAATTCGTGAAGATAACATACATCGAGTGTACTCGCCTGTCAGACATGCTGCTGTCCATCGCTCACGCGCTGGCTGTACTGCGATCAAACCGAAGGGGGATATTGGAAGGAAATGTCCAAGAACCTTCCTCTCGATAAGGTCAAAATCAGGGACCACTAACAGGCTAGTCTGTCACACTTGACTCAAAATCAGGGATAGGAAAACTACTACTCTGATTTGAACAGGGTTGAGAACTCAGTAATTCTGAAATCTCAGTCTCCACCAAGTGGAAAGTCTGAAATCACCCTGAATTCAGGGTAATTTCCCTGATAAAATCAGCCCTGGCCCCAACCGTCTGACCAGGGTCCTCGACATCAGACATTTTTGTCTGTTTGTCTTAGTTTCCAGACGGATTTTTTTGGATTATTCTGATGGGCCAGTCAGAATCAGACAAAAGTTTTTTTTTGCCCGGGGGACCCGTCTGATGCATCAGACACCCCTCGGATTCTAGCGAGGACCCTGCGTCTGACGCTTCGAGTCACTTTTGTAACTGCCTGACGCTTCGCGTCCGTGGTTCGATACTGCGTGCTTCTCTTTGCTACGGTGAGGAGTGCACAGTGATAATTAAGTATTACTATTCGTAACAAAACTTACGGTACGGTAACATGGAAATGCACTGAGTGCACGTCATTGTTAGCTTGTGTTATTCAAGGTAACTTCCATCAAATATAATGTAACAATGGTTTACACACAACAGCGTGTGGACAAAGGAGCATATACGCATTTGAGTCAGACCACTCACTAGTCACCACAGAAACTATGTCCACAAGCAACGCAGGCGTCTTCTCTCAACCCGAAACCCTAAAACGATATGATGAGCTGGAGCCTTTCAAGGTTTCAGCTGATTGTAGAACCTGTTAAACCAAAAACGGAGGGTACTTTCTGAGAAGGGCATAAACGTTGGGGGCCAGTCAGGATGTGACGGAAAGGCGAGGGTTAGTAACCAGATTGTGATGCCATGGCCAGTGAGAAGATGTGACAGCATGAGGGCCGAAAACAGGGAAAATGACAGGTAGCGAATTGTGACAGTTAGTGACACAAAAGAATCAACAAGTTTGCATTTTGAGATGATGTGACAACATGATATGGCAACATGATGCAGGGCAAGTAGGATGTAGTCGTCATTATGCCACCATTAAGCCATCATTAGTGTCCCGTGGGTGGCAGCGTACTTACTTTCAGGGGCTCGTTTGCAATCATTGTCATAGTAATTGTACGTCGGCGAGTCGCAAAAGGAGAAGTGGGTCTTGCAATACTGGGATAGAAACGTATCTTGGCCCTTCCTCACATCAGCACACGAATATTTACCTGCGGGCCACTCAAATGGACAACAGAATTCGGGGATTCGGGATAGTTTTTTAGTCAGCAGCAACAACTCACACCCTTGCAGATAAACGAAATCTCCCAACTGCGACTGGTTGGCAGGCATAGCGAACGCCGTGATGCGGGAAAATTCAGGATACATTACTAGATGAGGGAAAAGGAGGAGGGGGGAACTTACCATCCGAAGTTCGCTCCACCTGCTGGGCAACCGCTTTCGAAGCATACGCTGAGAGAACGAGGGCAACGGCTAGCAAGAGAGAGAGAGCCGCAATTCCGCTTAGACGCGCCATTCTCAGGAAAAGAGGTACTATTGGTAGACGTGGTAGCTCTAGTAGTGATCTAATTGAATCAGACTCTGAGAGGCGAAGATAGAAGGCGTGCTTACCATCAACAAATAGGACTGTTAAATACAAAACTGAAGGGCGAGGGTAGCACATGGCGGATAACCGGGGCCAAATCGGAGGGACGGTTGCGCCACGGCTTAAGGGAATTTGATTGGTTGTGGATCGCGATAGGAATCGTAGGACCAATGAACACGTAGGCTCCGCGGTGCATGGCGGATAAACCGGGCCCGAATCGGATGGGCGTTTGTGCCACGGCTTGAGAGAATGCCATTGGTCGTGGATCGCGATGACTAAGAGTAGGACGAATGAAAAAGTAGATTTCGTGATGACTAAGAGTAGGACCAATGATCAAGTAGTTTCCGCGGTCCCCTGTGGAGCTTTGTGGCAGAAACGAGACTCAGAGGGCCTGGAGAGGTCAATCAGTTTGAAGTCAAGCAGAGTTCCGTTCAAGTCCCAATTCAGGAGCTGGTTCATTTCAGGTAACTCGAAAGCAGTGTTCGCTACATACCTCTGGATCTCTGTTGTGCTCGACCTCACTGTAAAATATGGCAATTTCTAGTTCAAGTTTCACCGCGGAATTCCGAAGATGGTCGATGAAGAAGAGATCGTTGGGTTGCATTGACCCGAGGCTGTGGAGGTTGCTCCGCACTGGGGACACTACCAGCACTTGAAACGAATAAATTGTCAGCCTGAATCGTAATGGTTGCCGTCGTCGCGAAATTGAAATAGCCCCGAGGTCGGTTGTTCTGCTGAATCCCTGAACACGTCCCAAAGTTGAACGCGTTCCCCGTGAGATGCGGCGACTGAACGACCATAAATTATCCGTTACTAGGATTGCACCACGGGCTGCTTACAGGAGCTCCACCATAGGTAAAACAGGATACAGAGAACCTGATGTGGACCCCAAAATACAGGTAAAACAAGTGATTGAGAACCAGATTAACATTCTAAGCGGTGTAATTATGAAATTCTGAAGCTTGGATTGTCTGGTGTCGACCTTGTTTAGGAAGAGACACACATGAAAATATAGGATTCGTACAAATTATGATTCGTGAGACGACTCGTTTATCGATTAACAACTATTTGGTGTATTGCAAGTATTCCAGTACCGAATTCCACGCAGAAAAAACTTATCTCTGGGTTGGTCATACTGTGACTTCCCGACACGCTTCACTCTGGCCACCTGCACCACCATTGTGGCAAAAAGGGGAACCTTCAAGGAAGGCCTTTGACAACGGCGGAGAGGGCGAGGTGCAGAGAGAGCAGCAGAGGATGGTCTCGGAGGGCAGATGCGATGGCAGCTGTGTCTCTCGTTTGAGTCGACTCAAAAGGAAACTTCTAAGGAAGGCCTTTGGCAACGGCGGTGAGGGCGAGGTGGAGGGAGAGCAGCACAGGATGGTCTCGCAGGGCAGATGCGATGGCAGCAGTGGCGGCCCGGAGAGAAGCTGTGAAGGCAGTGTGTGAGGCCCTGGTGGGATGGAAGGATGGGGAGAGGAAGAAATGGGGAGATGGTGGGAGCAGGAGACAAGATGGAGCGAAGCAGTGATAAATTAAGTGCAAAGTCAATGTCTCCTTCAAACCCCTCTTCAATCCCCCCTCTTTACCCCCCTCCTCCTTCTCGGCCACTCTCCCTTTCCCCACACACACCTCATCTCTTCAACAAACCCCTCCTCCTCCAAACCATGCTGTAGCTCCTCTGCTGCTAACTGCCGACGGAATGCCGCCCGCGCCGCCCGCCCCTTGGCATCTGACGTGGCATCCCCGTATGCGTAATCAGAGAGCTCGCCTCCACTGGTTCTACCCTCCACCCCATGACCCCCCCTTCCTCCTCCTGCTCCTCCTACTCCTCCCCATCCTCCTCCTCCTGTTGCTGATGATGACGATGACGAATCAAGGGTTGGGAGAGAGGAGGCTGTGTGGATGGTGGTGCTGACGGTGGTGGCGAAGCGAAGGGCGATGGAGAGGAGGGAGGATAGTTTCTGCAGGGAGGTGGGTGAGATGGAAGGGGAAGGGGGGAAGAAAGTCGGGGAAACCACTTGGCAGTTGAGTGGGCGAACAACTTTTCATAAGGAGAAGCCGAGACCTTGTGCAGGCAAAGTACAGGAAGGGCGAGATGTACTTGTAGAAAGGAAAGATGGCCAAGCTGGTTATCAAGTATTCTTGGTAACCAGCCCCATTACAAAATGAGTCAAGCTGGTTATCAAGTATTCTCCAAGCGCATCTCAAAATTTCTCCAAGATTTCTGGAAAGGAAGGACGACCATGCCATTCTCCAAGCGCATCTCAGAATCACAGAAAAACAATGAAGGTTGCTTGCTTGTGAGACTCTCAACAGGAGCAATGGCGGGATGGAAGAAAGGGACGCCATGCATTGAATGCACTGCGGCAAAATGGCTGAGCAACAACACTGTGCCACAAAAACAAAAGGCCGAGCTCGAGTGAGATAGGGAAGCGCAGCAACTCACCATGCTGCAGTGCATAGTATGTTGGTGTTACTTTTCTGTTTTGAGACGACTCAACACAGTTTTGCGACGACTCAAACCTCGTCACGAGCCCGAGTGAGAATGGCACGTGCAGGAACTCACCACACTGCAGTGCATACTGCTTGAGCATTGAAATCACCACACAGGGAGGCATGCAGGCGCTACACACCTAGTGAGCGTGAGCAAGGTTAGAAGCAAGGACAGTACACGCCGCCATGACCCACGCTGCTACTCAGCTTTTTGAAGTAGCACAAATACCATGAAGGCAGGCAGGCAGGCAGGCATTACACACCTCTCGAATGTGCTGGCAGGAATCCAGAAGCCCCTCTGAGAGACACGTGTGAAGAAATGTTTGGTGTTCCTCCACGAGCTGTACACGGGCAGGCAGACAGTAAATGACAGATGAAAGTGCCTTTCCAAAAGCAAAGAAAAGAAAACGGATAACATAGCACTCTTGAAGACTTGAAAATAGAGGAAGCCTGATGTAGTACTGCGAGTGAGGATGGGAGATCAGAACCATTTGGAGTAAATAACCATCTTTTAACCAATCTTGACAGGTGAAGCTTTGTCATTGCGATTAGAGAGGCGGAGACGGAAAGCATGGGGATGGATTGGCGTTTTTCTTAGACAGGCGTTTATATGCATATATATATAATTCTGAAAAATGCTTGGCCGTGCGATTGGGAGGCGGAGACTGAAAGCATGCGGACAGATTGGTGCTGCTGTGGGCAAACCGTGATGTTGATGCGAGGGAGGAGGGAGATGAGCATGTGCTGATGTGCTCATGTGGCGAAGGGTAAGTGCTTGACGAGATGCAGCAGGAGGAGGTTGCAACAAAGTGATTAATCCAGTGATGAATGGGGCTTAAGGGAGGGACGTGATGAATGGGGCTTAAGGGAGGGACGTGATGAATGGGGCTTAAGGGAGGGACGTTATGAATGGGGCTTAAGGGAGGGACGTGATGAATGGGGCTTAAGGGAGGGACGTGATGAATGGGGCTTAAGGGAGGGACGTGAAGAATGGGGCTTAAGGGAGGGACGTGATGAATGGGGCTTAAGGGAGGGACGTGATGAATGGGGCTTAAGGGAGGGACGTGTTGAATGGGGCTTAAGGGAGGGACGTGATGAATGGGGCTTAAGGGAGGGACGTGATGAATGGGGCTTAAGGGAGGGACGTGTTGAATGAATCAAATTCGCTACACCAGATGCAGCAGGTTCTGGAGGTTTGCATAAGGGATGAAGTGATGGAGGGGAAAAAGATGGTGGTGACCAGAAGAAAGTGAGTCACCTGGTGGAAGGAGGTAGCCTTTGTCAATCTGGAAGTCATGAGGTCGAAATTGGGGCTTATCACCTGACGCGGTTCGGACAGGGGGGAAACGGGACGAAAGGCGTAAGGAAGCAGGAAGGGAAGAAATGAAAGGAGGTAGCGTTGGTGAGTCTGGATGTCATGAGGTCGAAATTGGGGCTTATCACCAGACATTATCATGAGGGGAGGAGGGAGGAGGGAAAGGGAGGGAAAGGGAGGGAAAAGGAGGGAAAGGGAAAGTTATCATGAGAGGAGGGAAGGGGATTGGAGGGAAAAGAAAGGCAGGGGAAGGGAGAGGGAGGGAAAGGAAAGGGAGGCGAAGGGAAAGGGATGGAAAGGAAAGGGAGGGAAAGGGGAGGGAAGGGGAAAAAGAGGTTTTTAAAGAAGGGCAGTGACAGCAGATGCCACGCAATTCTGCAGCCAGGATGGAAGGAGACACATGCGCACACACCCACAAACGCCCTTCCCCTCTCTCCATCCCCTCACCCCCACCCCCCCACACACATACCGCATGTGCCACGTGGTCGAGAATAGCAGTGACAGCACACGCCATGCGATGCCGCAGCCAGTGCACGCGCTGCAGCATTGTTCCCTCCACCTTCAGTCCCCGCGTCAGCTGGGGTGGGATGTGGGGTGGAGGGGAAGGGGGGATCGAGGCAAAAGAAAGAAGGGGACATGGAGAGAGACACAGAGAGAAGGAGCATAGGTGGGAGGATGGGAATTGTGGGTGAAGTGAGTGAGGAGGCGAGGGGAAAGAGCACACACACGTACGCAGTCAACACAGGGCACGCGGATGAAACAGGAATAACAGTAGGTGGGCGTTTGAGTACTGCAGCATTCCAAACCTACTCCAGCAGCAGCAGCAGCTGTTAGTGTTAGCGCTCAATCTCTTATTTTGTACTTGCACTTTTTATATCCTAGTGTAGTGTAGTTTGCACTTTGTGTTCGGTTGGGTGTACACCCACATCCCAACCAAACCCAGATGTGATCTCCAAGCAATCTCCAACCCACCAATTGGAGATTGCCTTGGGATTACCCCCAATCCCTAAAGATTGCCCCCGATTTCCTTCCCCATCCATTCCTTACCCACCTTGGATGTACTTAAAAAGCTTCAAGCTCATTACTAGTGAATGGATTCTAAGCTCAAGTTCTGACAGCAGCAGCAGCAGCAGCAGCAGCAGCAGCAGCAGCAGCAGCAGCAGAGGCAATGGCAGCGGCAGGAGTGGCAGTAGCAGCAGTAGCAACGCAATGGCAACGGTGGCGGTGGCAGCGGCAGTGGCAGTGGGATGGGAGCAGCAGCGGCAGCGGCAGCAGCAGCGGCAGCAGCAGCGGTAGCAGCAGCGGTAGAGAGGACCAGGCGCAGCACACTTGCAGTGCAGCCAGTGTGCGGTGGAGATGGGTGCAGCTAGGTTAAATCTTTGCGCATTGACGTGTATGGTTTTAATGGCCCGGCCTGCAGGGCAGACCGTGCGAGATCAAAGGCCAACTGCAGGTGGGTTTGCCTTTGGTGCACACACCAGTCTTCCCCACGGTTCTACAAGACAGCTATCACCTTCAACATCATCTGATCCATGGCCGTACCTGCAGGGCAGACCATGCCAGGGCGAGGTGCAGGTGGGTTCACCACCATCACCATCACCATCACCATCACCATCACCATCACTCCCCACGGCCCTACAGATATCACCATCATCACATCACAATAGCCCACGGCCCTACCTGCAGGGCAGACCATGCCAGGGCGAGGTGCAGGTGGGTTCGCCTGGTGGCGAGCAGGAAGCGGAAGAGGCGATTGTAACCCTGCAGGGCGGCTGGGGGCACCACCGCAGATACTGGCCAAGGGGCCTGCAGCAAGCGGGAAGGAAGAACAGATGGGAAACAGATAGGTTACAAATGGGAGTGAGACGAGCAGGAAGCGGGAGAGGCGGTTGTAACCTTGAAGGGCGGATGGGGGCACCACCGCGGATACTGGCCAGGGCGCTTGTATTGAATGGGGACGGAAGAAGAGGTGGGTTACATGTGGGTGACAGTTGGGAGTGAGGAGAGAAGGAATCAGATGATAATTAGCACGAGGCTCCTACCACCATGGATACTGGGCAGGGAGCCTATTTTAGAATCGACTAAACATATGGATACTGGCCAGGGGGCCTGCAGTAAATGGGGAAGAGAGAGCTCATATGTCGGTAACAGGTGAGGTGAGGAGAGAGAAGGGAAGGGAAGGGGAGTGAAGAGAGCACCACCATCGATACTAGGGATGAGCATAGGGACCCGGCGGGTCGGGTCGACCCGACCCGACCCGGGTTTTGACCCGGGTCGGGTCAGGAGTTCTGAACCACTGACCCGGCCGGGTCGGGTCGGGTATACCCGGCCGGGTCGGGTCGACCCGTGACCCGATTCCGGGTCGGGTCGGGTCGGGTCGGGTTTTGACCCGATTATGGACTCGACCCGGTTTCGGGTACCGCGCCCTATCTCGGGTTGGGTATCTGGCCCGACCCGAGGGTTTCCTCTCGACAATGTTATCCAGATCGCAATCGCGCTTGCTTGTTTTCCCAGCAACTAGCATTTCGATCTGGATTAAGTTAGGTTAACTAGCTAGTGACGCCAGCAGCCACCCACCAAGCAACATTGGCGTACTAATCTACCCTAGAACCCACGATAATGTTTAGTTAGTACTCAGCCAATCGCACTTCGCGCCATCCATCTTAGGATTTCTTTTAAATCCGAAATTTACAGGTCGCGCTCCCACCCTAGGCGCGCGCATTGCAGGCCCGCGTTTTAGGGCATCTCGGCGCGCCGTGCAGGCGCAGGTCGCTAGACCCGCGCCCCTACACATTATTAAGGAGAACCTCTAACCCTGCCTATGGGAGTCGGCCCGACCCGACCCGACCCGGCCCCGACCCGACCCGACCCGGGGGCGGGTCAAGCCTGACCCGGCACCCGATACCCGGGTCGGGCCAGAGATCTCAAAAGTTCCGACCCGACCCGACCCGACCCGACCCGGAACCCGGCTGGCCCGCCAAAGTCGGGTCGGGTCGGGTCGGGTCGGGTCATTTGATCATACCTAATCGATACAGCTGGCAGCTGATTCTGAGAATTCTCAAAATCAACCTCCAAAACAAAGGAGGATGGGACCAACATCATCGATACAGCCGACTCATATGGTAAGTAGTCTGGAAAAAAAATAAAACATCGGTTTTGAGTCGAGTACAATTCGGTTTTCCACATGTGGTAGAGGCTAGAGCCGAGCCGAAAGGCAAATCGAACCAAGCCCACCTGGTAGTCGATATGAATGGCCTCCCATTCACAAGTGATGGGGCGATTCTCTAGTCGACAAGAAAAAAACAACCCACCTGGTAGTCGATATAGATAGCCTCCCATCCACATGTAATCGGGCAATTCTCGAGACAACTAAAACAAAAGGAGAAGGCAAGAAAAAAGGACCCACCTGGTAGTCGATATAGATAGCCTCCCACCCGCGTGTGATGGGGCGATTTTCAAGTTAAAAAGAGAAAACAAAAGAGAAAAAAACAGCCCACCTGGTAGTCGATACAGATAGCCTCCCATCCACTCTCCCCTGAAGCTCCCCTGCGTTCAGCCCCTCCCCCCCTTGCTGCCTGCGCCGCCACTGCAGCTGCAGGGCTGCCTGGCCGAACAGGGGTGACCTGGGGCAGCAGCGACAGAGGGTTGCTGTAGAGCTGCCTGCCACCCCCATCACCACCATCATCCCCATCAGCACCACGACCACCAGCAGCAGCACCAGCAGCAGCAGCAGCATAAGCAGCGTGAGAGTCACCACCTGCGTCATCTGCATCAGGCCCCAGCAGGTCCTCGTATTGATCGTAGGATTGTAGACTGCTCAGCAGATCTGCACCGTCCATGCTCTCCCGTGACTGCTGCAGATGTGACTGTGGTGGCTGTGCTGGTGTGCGCTGTAGGAGCTGCGATTGTGATTGTAGAGGTTGTGAATGTAAGGGCTGCTGTTGAAGCGATGAGTTGGAGGGACTGGGTGGATTGGCAGGGACCTAAATGGGGCAAGATGGGGGGACATTAGGGGACATGAATGAAGGGTGATGCGGAGATAAGTGCTGCAACGGGAGCTAGACTACGGGCTAGGCACGTGTGCTCGTGTGATCTCTGCGTTCGTTCACTTCGTCGTTCCCTTGTGTTCACGCTTCTTGCTAGTTCACGGGGAGAATCGGCAAGAGTTTCACTAGGAAAACATAACAACAATGATAGCAACAACATTGGCATCACAGACTACATCAGTGCTAGCTAGGCTGCTGGTCGACCTCCAGCGCAGCATGGTCGACCGCGCTCCAGCGCAGCAGCGCTCGCACCGCTCCAGCGTTGCAGAGTAGCGGTTCGCCAACGTTGCAAGTCCACGGTGTGCCAGCGCTTCAGCAAGTCGGCTGCACAGCGTTGCAACCGCAGGACAACGATGCACCTGCTTCACACGTGCGCGCAGCTGGTTGGTGCGCACTTCCCTGTCACGTGCACAACGTAGACGCCTGGCAGACTCCACGCGACTGTGCCCACCAGCCACGTCGACCTTGGGATACCACTCCCGAGGTCGGCCTCGCAGACTCCACCCTGGCGACACTCGCGCACGTCGCCCGGGTATTCCGGTCGACCGGGCAACCACGCCTGACCGACCAGCGCAGTCCGTAGTCGGCCACGGAAGCCCGGCATCCCCAGTCCGGCGTCCAGGCGCCCAGGACGCCTTCCGAATCCCCAAGGTCGGCGTCCAGACGCCCAGGACGCCGATCAGATGCCCAGGTCGGTGTCTGGACCCCCAGGACACCGTGCAGGCGCCCACGACGTCGATCAGGCGCCCGGGTAGTCGTGGCGACGCCCAGCTCGGCGTCCAGCTTCCCAGAACGCCGTCCAGGCGTCCGGGACGCCAACCAGGCGTCCAGGGCGGCGTCCTCCTGCTCGGCGCCCTCCAGCCAGGCGCCCTCCAGCTTGGCGCCCTTGCAGTGGCCCCCGTGCCCACTGCTGCAGGTCGGCTGCAACCCCCGCACATCCGACCACAAGGTTGGCTCCGCCCAAGCGAGGACGGGGCCTTACAACGCTCCCGTTGACACTCCCCTGCTGCGTTCACGCTTGGGCCCCTAGCCCACACGGCAGTACAGCTCCGAGAAAAGCCCGTCGGCGTGCACCCAACACACAGCACGCCGGTCACTGCACCAGCCATGCAAGAGGGCATGGCACCTACTGCTGCACGTCGTTGTCGCCGTCGCCCCCGTCGGCCAAGCGCACCTGGCCGATTGCGACGGAGCATCGGTTGAAGGCAGGATAGTGCAGCGCCTTCGTCAGGAAGTCGGCCGGCTGCTCAGCGGTTGGGATGTACTGCAGCGAGAACTTCCCGCGCTTCACCATGTGCTGCAGCCAGGCCTGTCGCCGCTCCATGTGCTTGAGGTTGCCTGCCAACCCCATGCCCTCGGCGACCGTGATGGCCGACTTGTTGTCCACGCGCAGGACAGTCGGCTTCCCGGGGTTCAGCTGCCGGAACTCGGCGAGGAGGAAGCGAAGGCGGCGTCCCTCCTTGCCAGCTTCAGTGGCCACCACGTAATCCGACTCGGTCGACGACAGCGTCGCGCACTTGATGCGCTGGCTCGACAAGGAGACTGCAGCCCCACCGTAGACGAACACGTAGCCACCCGTGCTCGTCCTGTTCTGCTTGTCACCGGCGTCGTCGGCGTCC